AAATGACCTACTAATCCTCTGGAGTTAAAGTGGGAATTCATGGTACATAGGATGAGGAATCTTTTGATGATGAATAAGAGCAAGAGAGAGTAAGACAGAGAGAAATCTGACACTGGTTACTACAAAGGAAGAAGCACAGCCCTGTAATCTCACTTCGATTGGGTGAAAAAGCCCCAGGACGATAAAGGAAGGCTGGCCCATTTTTTGGACCATGACTGCTTCTTTTACTGCTTAAGTCACTGTCCTCCACCACACTTCCATGATATTGCAATTGATATGAGGTGGAAGATGGATGAAGCAGGCTGGAATTGATTGGTAATCTTTAATTAGTAATTAGTAATTACAGATTGTAATCTTTGCTAGAAACTAAAGAGGACGGTAACTCAAGCAGAAAGTGAGGAAGACATGGGCCAAAATCCAACCGTCCGTCTTCCTTTATTGTAGCAATGATGATGAGGTTATATAGTCTCTGGTAGATTATTATCTGTCGCAACTCTTCCTCCATAATTCTCTGGGCTGTTTTTTGTTTGTTTGTACAGACTGGATTTTTTTGTAGGTGTTATCTTCTACCAACAAAATATAATTTCAACTCTTAAATTTTATGGTGCAAGTGCATAGCAAATTCTCATTTCCTTTAGAATGTAAGAACTGAGTCACAAGAAATCACCTTGAAAAGTGCTTGAAGCAAATTTTAGTGAGATGACTCCAACCTTAAACTGTATGGCAAGCACACAGTTTTCCCAATGCCTTCATCATGACAGAGATGATCTTCTTGTAGTCTCTTTTGTTTTGTGCCTAAAATGTTCTTTCCGGCTCTAACGAGTGAGGCTATAGACACATGTCACCCCATCTTTCTCTTTATTCCTCTGACCTCAGATAGCATACAGCCCATTTCTGTCTCCATCATTACTGCACAAAGTGCTATCTTTGAAGGAAGATGACTTTTGCAATCTTGTAAGAACTCTAGCAGGCTTGGGAAAGGTTGTAACTCTGTATTTTGGGGTGTCTTAATTTTTTTATTACAATTTTATTTTTTGCAGTGCTGGGATTGAACTCAGGACTTTGCATATGCTAGGCAAATGCTCTCCCACTGAGCTACACCTCCAGTCATTGGTGTGTGTTTTAAAAACAAGTTATATAATTGCCTGTTTCCTTATGTAAATTCTCCCATGTTCTTAACCGCTCTGCTAAAAAACACACCAAAGAGGTACAAATGCTACAAGTAATACTGGAAAAGTTCAAGGTTAAGAATTATAAAAATGTATTAATTTTACATGGTCAGAGTCATTAAAATTAACAGAAACTTATTGAAATAACATTTAAACATTTTTCTCATTTTTTAAAAACATTTTATCCATATATTATTTGTATGGGGAAGGTTTAATTGTGACATTTCCATATGTGCTTATAGTGTACCTTGGTTAGATTTTCCCCTTCATATTTCTACCCCATCTCCCTTCCTTACTTTTTTCTCCTAATTTTAAAATTATCGTATTATTGTTGTACTAAGGGTGCACTGTGACATTTACAAAAGTGTTTACAATGTATCTTAGTTAAATTCACCACCCCATTCTTAGAATAGTTTCAACAGGTCTCATTCTTCCACATTCATGCATGAATACATATTTCCACCATATTCACATCCTACTCCCTTTCCTTATATCCTCCCACTGGTACTCACATCCATACAGGACTTGGTTTATGTTCCTGTCCTCTGTTTTTGAGAAAAAAAAAAAAGAGACATTTTGATATTTCCATGTGTGTGTGTGTGTGTGTGTGTGTGTGTGTGTGTGTGTGTATATGTATTGCATCCTGAATTGGTTCATCCCCTTCATTTTTCTTTTTACCTTCGTCCGCTTCTTATGGTAAGTTCAACAGGTTTATAAATTCTATATTCACTCTTGTATAGAAAGTACATTACCCAACTTCACCTTCTTTACTTCCTTGTTTTACCCACCCCCTCTAATTAGTGCCTATCCCTTAGCATAATCTGTTTTTTATTCTTGTCCTTCATTGTTTAGGTGTCTGCTCTTTGTTCAGTGGGAGTTTTGCTTTGGTATTATAACCTGTACATATATTGTGCTTAAGTCAATCTGGCCTTTCTCTCCACTGCCCTTCCTTGCTCTTTTCCCTAAACCCATGTTAAGTTTTCAATGTGTTTCCTTGTGTCTTGTTTCTACACAGATGTGACGTACTTCATTATTTTTTGTCTTTCTTTCCTTCTTTCCCTCCTCCCTTGGTCTTCTCAACCAGTCCCACTTTTGGATACATGCTCTGTATACTTCTATGTATATGTAATATTGTTTGTATTTGTATTGGGCCTATATCCCACATATGAGAGAACATGTGGCCTTAGACTTTCTGAACCTGGCTAACTTCACTTAAGATGATGCTCTCCTGTTCTATCCACTTACCTGCAAATTTCATTCTCTATGGCTTAATAAAATTCTGTTGAATATAAATAGAGGTAGTGGAACCTTTAATAGATGGGGCCTGGTGGAAGACAATTAGGTCATTGGGGGTTTGATCTTCATGAATGGATTAATACTGGTTTCTCAAGTTGAGTTCTTACAAGAGAAGGTCGTTATACAGGTGAGGCCATCCCAGGTGCTTGGCCCCTGCTTTTACAAGCTAATTCCTTTCTGCTTCTCTGCCATATTGTAACAGAGCCATGGGGCTCTCCTCAGCCACAATAATTGTAAGCCAAATAAACCTCTTTTACTTTATAAACTACCCAGCATCAGATATTCTGTTATAGTGTCACAAAACAGACTAGGACACCATATGACCTCATTTTACTTTAATTATTTCTTTAAAGACCCTATCTCTAAGTACTTTCACATTCTGGGGGTTAGGACTTCAACAAACAGATGGAGGGCACAATTAATCCCTTAATAAAGCATTCTCTGTAGGAACATGAAGACATGAAAGTACATGGTGATAAACCAGTCAGTGTTATAGAAAAAGTGTAATATGCTCCTTGAGGAGTAAAGAAAAATGGAGCTCGGTATGGGGCTTATGGGAGAATGTCCTCTCTATCAAGCTAAGTATGGGTTTTATCTTGGAGATTATGAGAAGCCCTGGAAAAATTTAAATTATGGAAATAGCCAAACCTAATTAGTGTTTTTGAAAGCTCATTCTGCATTGCAGGGACTGGACTGCAGACAGAGAAAGTGATTGAAGGCAGAGAATCTAATTAGGAAGTTAAAAGTGAACCCAAAGACTGGGTTAGCTATGGTAAGGTTTTTAGGATGCTAATATAGAGACTGTACAGAGTGTGGAGTTACCTGAAGCTATGCGCAAAGAAGATGACAGAATAAGGCCCCAGAAGGAAGCTGAAGTAGCACAAAAGGCAAAGAGAAAGGCATCAATGAAGAAAAAGGAAAAAAAATGTAAAGATGAGAAAAGATTCAGATAAGTTTGTAGATTGTGAGTTAAAGGATTTTCAACCTGATATCCCCTATTTTGGCTTTTGGGTATTTTCTTTTAGTTTCTGCTGAGAAAACAGTGGATGAAGCTTGGGCCTTGAGAAGAATAGTACAGGTTAGGAGTAACCACTGTGGGTAAAAGGGGAATAAAACAATTTCTGAGTCAACTTGAAACACCAGCAGAGGTAAGGCTCTCATCCATAAAGACTGTTGTTTGGACGCGGATGGAACCGAGGCGGCCAGTCTCGGCTGCAGGAGTTGAGGGTAGCTGACCATTTTGTGTGATAGAAGGAAAGGAGTCAGGTGGGGCTAGAAGTCTGAAACCCAAGACACTAGGAGTAAGGGGTAAGGGTGAAGAGCAGGTTTAATGATAGGGAGAACAGAGGGATTGGGGAGAGCTTGGTTAAAAAAAAAAAAGAGGTTTCTGAGGAAAGATGTTGGAGGAAGAGCAGTTTCAAGTAGTGACAAGGTCTTAAAATCAGAGTTAAATGAGAGGAGATATGTGCTGAGATTACCCAGGAGAACTTATTCATATTATGCCTGAAGGAAATAGTTCCTAAATGTTCTGTCAACATGCTCTCTTGTTTGGTCTTTTTGGACTTAGGGAAATATTGAAAACCTCTGTTCCCTAAGGAAGATGAAAGTGAGAAGACAGGGCTCTGAAAAGCAAGTACAGCTGGGGACCATTAATTATATGTGAAAACAAAAACACCCTCAGAACAAGAAACAGGACAGGGGAGGTGAGCGCTGTGCCTCTTGCTATGGTAAATAACTAGCTAGAAAAGAATTCTTTGCCCAAATCTTCATAATAAGGCAATTTTATTTGGCTTATACTTCCTATAAATCTTGAAACAAGAGAAGTTTTATTTAAGTTTTGTTGTGTAAATTCCCTCTGCCCCTGAAAAACAGCTTGAATTCTCTTTTATGTTCTTCACATCCTCCTGGGGTTATGAGTTTGATTAGTAAAGTGGACCTGTAGTTTCTAACTTCACACTACACTTTATCTAAGTGTTCATTATTGCCCTAAGTTCTCACTCCAAAAATCAGTTTTCTTCCAGACAGCTTTCTTTTTCAAAATATTGCCTGCAATCTTAAAGCAAAAACTGAAGAAAAAAGAAAAAAAAAAAACCTACTAAAACCAAAAACATTCACCTTATTTAGGATATTCTATAAAAATCATTAGTTTAAACTGAATAAGGCTACAAATACATGTTCATAGCATTTATAATAGTCAAAGGATAAAAATAACTCAATTGTGTACAAATGGATACATAATGAATAAATAAAACATGGTATGTCCAGGTAGATGAAAGGAGAATTTTTTCTTTCTGCCTGGGTTCTTATGCTGGGACATCTGACTTCTGTCCTGACTGAGCTCATACATACCATCAGTTCTCTGGTTCTCATAACCATATCACCAGTTTTCCTGGTGACATGCAGGTGATATGCAGAGGTCAGATTGTGTGACTCCATAATCATCTGAGCCAATCAATTTCTCAGTCCATTTTCTTTTTTGTTATATAAATTAACCCATTTTATTGTAGGCTAAGGATGTCTCAAATGGTAGAGCTTCTACTGGTCTTTTAATTTCTTCAGTCTTCTGATGGCAGACTTGACTGTGATTGCTGAAGTCGTGTTGTAGGTCCAGGTACCACCAGCCACTGTTATAATGCGCAGATTCCCTCAGTGTCCAGATTCCCACAGCCTGTCTCATTTTGGCTTTGCCACCGAAGGAGCAGGTGTACTTGGCGTGTAGGCTGATTTCAAATTTCTTCACCATTTTCCAGAGGGAGCCACCATAGCAGGTCCCATATTTACTGATGATCCTGAACTTCTTGGTGCATTTGGCCATGTCACTGCTACCTAGGCCTGAGCCACAGAGGCCTATTTTCTTTTGCTATAACAAAATAACCAAGGCTGGGTACTTACTAAAGAATAGAGGTTTATTTAGCTCAGTTTTGTTGGCCAGATATCTAAGATTGGGTGGCCCTTCTATTCAGCCTTTCATGAAGGCCTTCTTGGCTGCATTATGGCATGGCAGAGAATCTGGAAGGAAATAGCCATGTGTAGAGGATTAGCTCACGGAGTGACCTCAATTAATAATTCATTCTCTTGAGGAGTCCAAGACAGCTACATTAATCTCTTCTGAGGGTGATGTCCCAAAGACCTAACCACCTGCCACAAAATATTAACAGCGCTAGTATTGTCTGTGATCAGGAGACTTCCAAATTCTTTGTATCCCACTGGGACGAATCTATGGCAGGACACGTGGGTGTAAAGGGAGTTTATTAAAAGTTAGAAAGGAAAATACAGAAAGGAGCATGGCAGGGCCCAAGTGGACTCTGCTGGCCATAGCTTTTTTTTTTTTTTTAGTTCTGGGAACCGACCCAGGGTCTGCACATGTTAAGCAAGCACTCTACCACTGAGTGACATCCCTAGTCTGCCACCCCTATGATTTGAACTAGTTTGTGCTTGCTTTGCCCAAGAATACACAGCAGAAGTGATCTTCTGGAATTTGCAAGTGTAGGTCTTAAGAGAACTTGAAGCCTTACTTTCTGTCCTATAAAGTCCAGACTAACCTGTTAGAGAGAAGCCACTTGGAATGACTCTGGAGGATGAGCTACCATAAGGAGAGAAGAGGCCACAAAGAGGGCCACTGAAGCACAGACTTGGGAGTAAAGAAGCATTTGTATGTTGCAGACCTGTACTAGTCAGTTTGGGCTGTTATAGCAGAATACTATAGACTGGGTGGCCTACAAACTTTATTTGTCACACTTCTGGAAGCTGGAAATCTGAGGTTAGAAGGCCAGTTGGCAGGTGGGTGACTTCGTGTGTGTGTGTGTGTGTTTGGGCACTGATACCACTCTCTATGGGCTCCCCTGCTTCATGATCTAATTATTTCCCAAAAGTCCCTGGGATCTCAATATATGCATTTGGGGGAGGACCATACACATTCAGTCCATAATGAAATTCAATCCAATCACTATGACTACTGCCACATAAAAGACTCTAAAGCAAGACTGAAAGAACCACTGGGATAAAGCCTTGGTAATTCATAGAATCATAAGAAGTAATAAGGATGCAGTTGTTTTAAGTCACTAATTTTGGGGATTTTTTACATAGAAATAGATAACAAAAATAGAAACTGGAGTCATCGCCACTTTAACAAAAACCTAAAACATTGGCTTTGGGACCCGCTGGTAGGCAGAAACCAGAAGGGTGTTGATGAGACTGTGAACAAGGTAAGAAAAACAGTGATAAAACTGTTATTGGATGCTGGACAAAAGGCAAACCTCCTGTTTATGTCATGGTGGAAAGTTTGGCAACAAGGTCAATGGTGGTGATGCAAGTTAGAAAACATACCTAATGAACTCGTGGATGTGGTTGAGATTTCCTGGCAGGATGTGGTGCCAATTGGTTTCTTTCAGCTGCATATGATGAAATACAAATTTAAAGTGCAACCCAGGATTTTTGCTGGCAAAGATCAATTCCATGTCTGGCTAGACAATACGACTTCTTCGATTCTCTCTGCTAAACAAGTGTTTCTAAGTATCTAAAGACATTGTTTCACAGCACCTGACATTAAAATCAAGATGAAGAGGGTCTGTCTCAAACATATGTGGGTATGATTTTTATCTAATGGAGTAGATCATAATTTGATATACAGAGGCACTCTTTTTTTTTTTTTTTGTAATGGTGGGGTTTGAACTCAGGGCTTCCCACATGCTAGGCAGGTGTTCTATTACTTGAGCCATGCCTCCATCTAAGGTTTTTTTTTTTGGCAGTACTGGGGTTTGAACTTAGAGCCTCACAGTTACTAGGAAGACACACTACCACTTGAGCCATTTCAACTATTGTTTTTTTTTTTTTTAAAAAGTGATCACAAACATGGACTGAAGGGAGAGAGAATGCAAAAACCAAAGAGGCCTTTAAGCCCTCAATGTCCTCTGGACAAAAAGCAAACAGAAACCTACTCAGCTGCAAATATGGGCCTTTTCTTTGGTGGTACTGGGGTTTGAACTCAGGGTTTGGTGTTTGCTAGGTAGGCATTCTACTGCTTGAGTCACTTTTTTTTTTAACTCTAGTTATTTTGGAGCCAGAGTCTCATTTTTGCCCAGTCTATCCTGGACCACAATCTTTCTATTTTATGCTTCCTGTTGCTGGGATGACTGGTGAGCACCACCATGCCTATATTTTTTCATTGACATGGAGTGGGGGTGTCTCACAAACTTTTTTTGTCTGGGCTGACCTCGAGCTGAGATCTTTCTGATCTCAGCCTCTCAAATAGCTAGGATTATAGGCACGAACCACACATTTGGGCCATTTCTTAGCAAAAAGAGGAATGACAGAAGGCAGAGCCAAGGCCCTAGAGAAGCTGGGAATACTATTCTCAGCAAGCAGAACAGGACTTTAACCAAGAAACATCCTATGATCTCAGAGTTGGAGGAGATAATAGCATGTGCCCATCTGAATTTCAGAATTATTACGGTTTGGCAACTGCTCTATCCTCTCACTCCCCCAAAATCCTCTTTAATTTTTTACTTTACTTTATTTATTTTTGAAGTACTGGGGCTTGAACTCAGGGCCTACACCTTGAGCCTCTCCACCAGCCCTGTTTTTGTGATGCTTTTTTTTGAGATAGGGTCTCTCAAGACTATTTGCCTAGGCTGGTTTTGAACTGGACCTCTGCCTCCTGAGTAGCAAGGATTACAGGTGTGAGCCACCAGCAACTGGCTATTTACTTATTTTTTTGAGACAGGGTCTCACTATGTAGCCCAGCTGACCTCGAACTAGGGCCTCTCCTGCCTCTGGGTCCCAAGTGCTGGAATTGTAGGCATGTACCACCATGCCCCACGTCCCCTACTGCCTTTTTTGAGTGGAGGTGTCTATTGTATTATATTTTTCAGCATTGTAGTTTTGGATGCATGTGGGACAGATAATTAGGCTTTTTAGATCACAGGTCCTTTCAGTCAAGGTGCTATACCAGGGAAGACCATGCCTGAAGAGGTTCATCTGCTCCTGCACATTATTTAGATGACAAAGTTCTGGAATTGGGGTTGATGCCAGAATAGTATGAGGCTTTTGAGGGTTTGAGAAGGGATCAGCATAGTTTGTATGTGGGAGGGGTATGAGTTTTGTGGCCAGAGGGTAGACTACAGTAGTTAAGTGTCCAGAAATTCCCTCCTACCTCCACTCCCAAACACTTCTAATGGTATATGCTTCCTACTCTCACATCAAGAGAAAAGACTTATTCCCTTTACTTGATGCTGGCTGATTATGACCAAAAGAATATGGACAACGTGATGGTCTAGGCCTTCTGGTCCTTGGCTCTAAAAGAATTTGCAGCTTCTGTTTTCTATTGCTTTTGAAATGTTTCCTCCTTGAGCCCAGCCACCCAGCTGTGAGATGATGGAGGACATATGGAGAAAAACGAGGTACCCTAACCAATAACCCCAGCTGGGGAGCACCAAATGCCAGCCAAATGGGGGAGATGATTTTGCATTTTCTACAGTCCCAGCACTCTGGATGGTATACATGAAGCAGAACTACCCAGACAGCTCACAGAAATGTAAGAAATATTAAATTATTGTGTTAAGCCTCTAAGGGTTTCTTTTCTTTTTTGGGGGGGCGTCTAACTGTGTTGCCCAAGCTGGCCTTGAACTTTTGATTGCCTCAGCCTTCTGAGTAGCTGGAATTACAGATGTGCACTACAGTGCCCAGCTAAGCCACAAAGTTTGGTTGATAGAAGACTGTGAGGGAAGGGAACTAATAATATCTGTAGAACGCTCTCCTTTTGTATCAAGTATCCTGCTCATTGCTGTATTTTTGTTAATGCTCACAATACCTGTGTGAAGACAGTGGTAGGATCAAGAAAGTGAGGCTGAGACAAGTATATTGACCAAAATGACACAGTTAGTAAGCAGTATCAGCATTTGAATCTGATTGTCTGGCTCCAATATCTGTGTTCTTTATAGCATATGAGGGCACTCACCAACATTTTATTTTTGTGGTAGTAGGTACAGAAGTCAGGCACATATGCAAGGCAGGCAGCTCTACCACTTTTGTTCTAATTTTGTTTTGAGAAATGGTGCCAGTATCATCACTACCTTTGCCCAGGCTGGCCTCCAACTCACCATCCTCCTGCCTCCTGGATAGCTGTGATTACAAGGCATGCATCACCATACCCCTCTCTGGAATAGCACTCTTTAAAATTACAAGTTATTGGGCTGGTGGAGTGGCTCAAGCAATAAAAGTGCCTGCCTAGCAAGTGTGAGGCCTTGAGTTCAAACCCCAGTGCCTCCAAAAAAAATTACAAGTATGTTTATCTCTATGTTAAACTTGAAATTTTTCTATTAATTACAAAGTATTGGTAGAAGGGTGTGATAGTACACACCTGTAATTTCAGCACACAAGAAGCTGAGGTAGTATGATAATGAGTTTGAGGCAGCTTGGACTGCATAGCAAGACTGTCTCAAAAAAAACACCAAAACCCAAAAACAGAACAAAGGCCATCTTGGAAACTTTCTGTGTATATTAAGTAGAAACAAATCCTTATTTTATATGTGATACTAATATATACTGTATTATACACCTAATATATGTATATACTACATATGCATACAATACTAATATAAGGCATGTACTATATATACAATGTATATATGCAAATATTCAAATATTCTATGCACATATGTAATGTATGTACATGATACAATATTGTTATATAAATAGTATACATATATATATAAGTATGTGTCTATATATTGTTTGGAGATATATAACCAAATCATCTCTTTTTTTTTTTAAGTGCAGGGGACTGAACTCAGGGCCTTGCATTTGCCAGGCAAGTGC